CAGGGAGGAGCAAGGGTGTAGTCCAGTAAGGATGAAGAACTCAGTTGGGATATAGAGCCCTTGAGCTGCTTGCGGGATGTCTAAGGGGCATGTCCAACGTGCAATCTGACACATGGATGTGAAGCTGTTGATTAGAGCTGTAATACAGCTCAGGAATTATCAACATTTAAAATGCAGCTAATAAAATGAATTTTAAAAATATAAAAGTTATAAAAATATAGCAATCTGTCTTGACTGGGCCAAGATTAGGAATATTTGTCTAAAAGGAGACTTTATGCACAAGCACACATGTGGGTGACAAAATGAGACACAAAACTGGGAATAAGAACTTCCTTCCCTCTTTGAACAATGCCTTTTTCTTCAACAGCTTTTTAATAACTGTTCAAAGACTGTAGCTTTGGAGGCACTATAAGGCCGCAGCCTTGGTGGAGACTTTAGCTCTTTTGGGCAGGCACTCTTAGTGGAGCCAAAGATCGGCCCACCGCAAGGTGCTTCAACAACAGCACAGCAAGAAGCAAGGCTGGGAGGGATGCTGACTCTCCACGCTGAGTGCTCTCGGAGAGTTCACAGAACACAGGAAGTGGTTTTGAGGGATTCTGAATATTTCTGAACCATAGCAGTAAGGGTAGAAACACGGGGGAGCACAAAATTTGTACACAGAAACAACTGGCCAAGGGCTGGGGATTTAGCTCAGCGGCACAGTGCCTGCCTGGCAAGCGCAAGGTTGTGAGTTCAATTCCTGGTACTGGAAAAAAACCAAACCAAACCAAACCAAAACAAAACAAAAAATGAACAACTGGCCAAGAAGAGGAAAAACTAACTTCAGTGTCGGGCAGGTACTAGGAGACAGAAACCAGGAAGCAGAGTGGTCAGACAAAGCAAGAGGCCAGGTGGGACTGGGGACAGCAGAAAGAACTTCCAGGACAGGGACCCATGGTGCTGATGTCTTAAAGTGACCAACAACACAAGAAATGAAAAAGGAAGGGAAAATAGTCAGGGTATTCACCACAGCCTGTGGTGGTCGGATCATACATGTCAGTTCTCTGGATTTTTGAAATCACTGTTCCCAAAGTTAAGGTGTACATTGTAAGATCACGCCCTCCTTTCCTTTCTAACTGCTCCTGTGCTGAGGATGGCCCGCATTTTAAAAGACCTGTCTGCCTTCAAACCACTCAGCAGGGTTTCTTGGGGTCCATTTGTGCCTCCTTTCGATTTCAGGTCCCTTTTGTATTTAGAAGTCAGTGGTATTTCTTTTTCCCTTTTTTGTTAGGTATCTCTGAGCCTCTCAAAGGGTGTTTCCAATTGTTTCTCTCCCATTCAGACCCAACCATCCTGGGCTCCCTATGCTTCTGAAACATCAAATTAACATCTGAGGTGAGTGGGTCTGAAAGTTTGTGTCCTGAGTCTGTCCCTAAAAGCAGCAATAGTGAAAGACATAAATTTGTTCATAAACCACTGTCATTCAAGGAAGGGGAACTGTCTCTGAGAGCAGAAGAAATGGAGGAGAGTTTAAATCCCAGACAATTTATTCTGCTAAAAGCAGTGTGATAAGCCTACGTGGGCTGATAAACTTACTTGACGGTTGAAAAGGCCGAGACTGAATACCACCTACATTTAACTAGAGTTTTTGCAGCTTTAATCCAAGGTACTAAGTAAATTGATAATTAGGGCATTATAAGGAGAATTTTCATTTAAGGGCAACTTGCACAGCATTTTCTAAATCAAAGTAGGTAGTCACCTAAGGTTTTCATGGAAGATTAATCTCTGCTCTGCTTATGTGAGAGTCCATGCTATTACTGCATCACTTTGTATTTCCTCCTACTTCTGCTGCTTGTGTTTATGAGCTCAGGATAGATGTTTAAAGCACATGTGCTGTAGCCCCCTGGATTTGCTACACTTATCAATTGTTCTCCTTATCCATTATTTTCACTTTTAGCTCCTGTAAAGCCAAGACCAGCCTTAATATTCCCCTCTACCTGCTTAACTTCAGATTGGCTTTGTGCTCCCTCTAGGCTTCTGAATTTCCTTTCCTTATTTGATTTTAGAAAAGTTTCCATTGTGAATCCTTACTCTGCTCCTCTGTGAAGTTAATATCCCAGTCCCTCAACCAGTTTTATAACCCAGGAGTGTCTTTCTCAAAGACCTGGGGTCCAGGTCTTTGAAATGTAATGAATAAACGAGATAATGCCCTAATCTCCCACTTTCTGTGGGAGAGAATCAAAGTTTTTAATTGCATAATTAGCAAATGTGGGCAGCCTAATCATATTGACTAACCTCCTGCTAATGTCCTACATTAATTTTTCACTTGTTCGCCCTAGAATTTAAAAACCTTCCTGCTTTTGTTTTAGTGAAGTTGAGGTTAATCTTTCTTCTCTTGCAATAGTCTTAAATAGTCTTCCCTGCCTGTTTAACTATTTGATGAGATCTTTTCTTTCATATCAGTAATAGCAAAAAAAAATTTCTAGATAAAACCTAGCTGATCAAATTTACAAGTTCCTAGTCTTCTATTTATTTATTTTTTCTTCCTTGTGTTGACATCACAGATTCCTGGAAGAAGTTACTTTCTAAGGTTCCAAAAAAAAAAAAAAAGAAAAGGAAAACAAAATGTCACTCTGATAATAGATACTGTTTTCTCTCTTGAGTGTCTTATGGATAAAGGTGGGGTCGCACACAAGTTTTTCAACCATTTAACACATTCTCAATGAGATTATCTTTCTCTTTTGTATAAGAGTCTACCTATAAAAATCACTTCTTCCCTTTGAATGTAGTTAAGTGTATTATCCAGCTGAATTCTACTTATGGAGAGTGTATCACAGTGCTGATCTAAACATGTTCAGACTAGTGGATTATTAAGGTCCGACACGCTTAGCTGTCTTTAGTTGACATCTGACTCCCCAGCACAGAGAAAAATGATTCCTATTTATTTGATTTATTTATCTATTCTGATCATTAATCAACAGCACCTATAAAACAAATAAAGCCATATGACAGTCCAGTGAAGTTTCTATCAAAAGATAAAGTTACAATTTGGGAAATAAGCACATCATTTTTCTAATTTTTTCTCACTTGAATAAATCAGAGTTGTTCTGCTTCTACGACTATAAAATTTAGATTGAGCTGTCTTTGAATTTTAATTCAATAGACATTTGCAACGCTCCTATTCGTCAGTGCCAGGCACTACATTAGACAAAGGAACTGGGCACTTAAACTTTGACGTGCATTTACAAAATCATTAAGTAAGCACACTTGTTTAATTCTTTAACTGTGCCAGCTGGCCCACTCTTCAGTGTTACCAAAATAAGTTTAAAGATTTCCAGAGTTTATTATTTTCTTATAGTAAATATTGATTTCTTTCTATGTCTGTCAGGACACTGTCCCACAATGTAATCTTTTTTTCGGTACTTGTGCTGCTTTAGATTTTGTAAAAATAGGGCCTCCTCCATTATTTCCCCCTAAATATACCATCTTGCTTGTATTTATTTTCCTGCATGTATTTTGACTATCCAATGAACAATATTTTTCTTTTAAAAATATTTATTTTTAATTGACAAATAGTAATTCTGTATTTTTCTGGGGTATAATGTGATGTTTTGATCTATGTATACATTACAGAAAGACTTACTAACCTAGGTGATAGATAATTAACATATCTGTCACCTCACCAACTTTTCTCGTTGGAAGAATGTTAAAAATCTATTCTCTTAGAAATTTTGAAACATGAAATGTGCTATCATTAACCATCATTCTTCTGTGGCACAATAGATCACTAAAACTTATTTCTTGGTTCTGAGGCTTTGCCTGGCAGTGATTAGATTCCTTGCTGTATTAGATTTGTGTCTACGAGAAGGTCCCAAACCCAGATGATGTCATGCCCAAAGTAAAGAATGGGATATCAAACATATTCTGGGATAGTATAATGTCTTTCCAAAACTCTCACACTTTAGACTCACAGTTTAAAGTGGAAAAAGCAAGAAGCATGATTGAGATTCCCAACATGAATTTTAATCATATTTCCCTTTTGTCAGGTCTGAAATTCTTTTGGTGCCACCAGGTTACTGGGAAATGATAAAAGACATAAATCTTACTATCTAACACTTTGCGTTAACTGCTTTGACCCTCATTCTTGCCAATAGCTGCTAATACTCAGTAGAAACTTAATTTTTCCATAGCCTTCTTGGAGAAAGAGTTTTAGAACTCTCTCCTGCTCGTGCCCACTCCTTATATAGGAAGGAGAGATTACAAGTAAAAAATAAGGGAATCATATTTTTTCTTCATCATATTTAATTTGAGTTTCCCCCCCATCCCTGTGTCTAGTTCTTTAAGAATACGAAAAGTAATTCACTAGGGACACAGCAACTATGTCTTTACATAAGCAAATAGCTTTCACTGGGCTTAGTAAACATAATCTTTGTTTGATTTCCTTTGTAGAGCAGGTCACCTCCAAGCTCCTTTTATCCTTTGTTTTCCATTGTACTTAAAAAAACAAATCAATTGTAGGACAAATTCTCACTCTCTGCAGGACATCCAAATGACAGCTTAGAGTTTCACTGTGTATTCATGCCTGCTTTTTGTCATGAATGTATGATATCATTTTTGCAGGAAGGCATTAAATGATTCATTACACAAATTTTGTCTGGTGTCTACAATATGCCAGCCAGCCATTGTGATGATGGAGGAAGATGAACACAGACTTCAAAGTTTAGTGGACTGTATTAACATCAACAGTGTTTAGTGTGTGTGTGTGTGTGTGTATGTGTGTGTGAATACACAACTCCATAAACTTTTTTGGATATAAAGTCTAGAGTCTGGTGAGAACTTATGATGACTCATTGACGAACTTTTGCCTAGTAGGGTGCCAAAATGATTAAATGCATGCTTTATGTAAGGAATGTTGAGTCCTAAGGGAAAGTACAAATGTTGTAGTATTAAGTGCTTATTTCTAGCCTTCCCATGAATATTGAATGAAAACTGTAGGAGTTCCTTAGAAGGTCCATACTCACTCATCTCTGCGAACAGCTGTCTTCTTTCTGCCATGGTATTTCCTCTTTTCCCACTATCTTCAATCATTCTATGAGACAAAATTGTGACAATGTGTATTATCCTCATGAGGCAAACAGCCGTTTTTGCATGTAAACACATTTGTTTCATTCGCACCACAAACACAGAGAAAAGCTATTTTAAAACTGTATACTTTAAAAGTACAGCTTTATTTTCACAAATTTAAATTGCCATACATATTTTTCATATGTAATGCTGGTATAGTTGTTGAAAGGGGTATAAAATTTTTATTTTGTAACAAAAAATTACCGTAATAAGTGACTGTATGCTATAGCTAAGTACAAACATCCACCATCTGTTAGGGAATTCATTTCCTACATAGTGTCTCAATTTTGGGAATCACCATAAAGGCTACAGGGCAAATTTTATGGATTCCATTCAACAGAGAGTGCAAGGGAGAGTGCCCCTGACTTGGTGACTGACAGGCATAGACCTCTGGGCTCTAGGACCAGTACGCCTTTCCCTCATTCTTCTGCCAGTTGTGCCTTGTGCACTTAGAATCTCATTTTAGCAACAGGTGATTTTTCAATGTTCATTTCTAACTTGAGTGTTTTCTGACACTTTCGATAGTTTTCCTGCACAAAATAATTTCACGCAAGATGGTTGGGTTCACCTCTCTTTAACCATACAGTTTATCTGCTGTGGAGCTATTTAAGAATACTATTAAAATGCCAAAAGTTAAAACAGAATTTAAAAAATACAAAAAATTAAAATATAGCTTGAGGACAAATAAAATAATGAGAAAGTTAATGGAAATGTTGTTTAGTCATGTAAAAGGCTTTGGGCTACAAATGTCAAGGGTTTCATGGCTTGCTGGATTTGATTTTTATTATATCTAATTAAACATTTAAAAACTAAAATTTTCCCTCTCCTGCATGCATGTACGTAAGCACACATCTGTATACCACTGTGGGTTCTATTTGATTCTTAAGCATGATTGGCAGAAAGTGTTGTTAGATGGATCTTTGTGCCTATTTTCAAATAGGCACTGCACATTTTCAGGTCTAGGTCTTTATCCATATTGCTTTTTGTGATGGAACAGGCCATGTCTAGCTAATTTGAAGTCACCAGTCAGCTCTCAGAGTAGCTGTGTCTTCCTTTGGAATCATCCCCGACCCTATGACTGTCTGGGTTTGGTGCCTTTCTTCTGAACCTCCTCAGACACAAGGTCTTCACCTGCATACACAGTGTTCACTTCCTAGTTCTCTGTTCAGTGCCTTCTGTACTCCAGAAAACACACCAAGCTCTGGGTGTATACCATGGGCACCAACTTGGAATTCCTGTCCTTAAGGCCCTTACAGTGTTGCAGAGGTGACTGGAGAACATGGGCAGAGAAAATGAAAACTTAATTACAGCCACTGAGGTGGAAAGAAAAAGGTGACCATAAGAGAGGTTGATCCTCCGGGGACAAATTTAACAGAGTGACTAGTAGAAGTCTGTTCAAAAGGTAATAGAATAATTATAAATTGACTCACTTGAAGGGAAAACAACTAGTAGTGAAAATGATATTGGCCAAATTAGATAGCCTGACTTGTTGTTTCTATGAGTGAAGGATATTTGCCCATTGGCAAGAAAACCCTGAACAACCATGGTTTATAGAGCCAGGGGAAGCATGTGCACACACATTCACAATGGAGTGGGTGATATAACCAAGGCCTGGTCTCAACACCAATTGGAAGGGAATTATTAATGAGGCCTCTTCAATTTGTTAACAGCTCATTGCTGAATGTGATCAAATACTTTCTTATGCAATTTTAAATATGTGGGTATAGCCAACATATAAGAGATATGGAGAGCAGTGCCTCCATCCTGATTTACCTCGCCCTATCTCCTTCATTCCAGAGGAAGGAGATAGACGGTCACCTGACATGCACAAATGAGTCTGGATATAGTTTTTGGTTATTTCAAGGGCTCAGAAATAGAGTGGAGCCAGTAAAAGAGACAGAAAATAGAGGCAGGGATGTGTTCATACGGCCAATCAATGCATGAAAAATGTTCAGTATATTTGGCCATTTGAGAAATGCAAATCAAAACAACAGTGAGATTTCATCTTTCCCCAGAAAGAATTGTTATCATCAGTAATTCAAGAAACAACAAATACTGGCAAGGTTGTGGGGAAAAAGGAATCTTCCTACATTATTGCTGGGAATGTGTACTAGTATGATTACCATGAGAATCAGTATGAAGATTCCTCAAAAAACTAAAAAATAAAAATTCCACTTCATCCAACTATACCTCCCTGGATATCTCTTGAGGTAAAGACATAATATTATATGGATATGTATATACCTATGTCTATAGCAACACACATCATAATAGCTAAATCTTAGAAATAGTCTATAGGCATATCAATAGACAAATAGATAAAAACGTGGTATAATATACACAGTGGAGTATTATTCAGCTAAAAAGAAGGATAAATTTGAATAATCTGTAAGAAAATGGATATATCTTAAGACTATAATGTTAAGTGAAATAAATCAGGAATAGGTTAAATAGTGCATGGTTTCTCTTACATGAGAAACACCTGATATAAATAGTTTTAAGAGTGAAAGGAAAATGGTAGGAAATAACAATGTAGAATTTGTGGAGCTGGGAAGGGGATCTAGGAATAGGACAAGAGAAGGTCCAGGAGGCAAAGGAAAAATGAAATTCAGATGTACGTATATGTGCCAATTCCCCAAGATGAATGTAATTATTATATATTGCAAATATACAAAATATAAATAAAAATAAGATTGGGATCTTCCCCAAAGAAAACAACAATTAAAAATAAATGACAGAGGGTGGCGGGTTAAAGACTCTGATGGGAAAGTCAGGAGGTAAAGATTGGCTCCTGAGCTCAGAGCACTCACTGCCTGGATCTCTGACTTGCGCTGCTGTGACATTCTTTTCCTGGTTAATTTTACGTGTGTTTCTGTAAAAGTGTTGAGGTCAGTAACCTCACTAGTTTTAAATGCTTCACACTGCCTAGTGCAAACTAGTCAGCAACTGAGATGGCAGTGAGAACTCACTGAATAAAGGAATGGAGGGATGAAGAGGGAAAGAAGGGAGAGAGGGAGGGCGGCAGGGAGGGAGGGGGTATGAGAAAAACGAGAGTTGAATTCTTGTCATGGAATGGGCTTCCTATTATATTTCCACAATTCAGTCATAGACAAGTGAAATCTATATTGATTCCTACTGTATTAGCTTCAGAGAGTCATTATTTGAGGTGAGAGAAATAAGCTTATATTTATTATAAAGCCAGATTCTACATTTTAAAGCAAAATCATGTCTCATGAAATAGAAGTTGAAAAGTGCAGACTATATGGATGTCGAGTTTTGGTCTATTCATTACCAGTTTTTGGTTAATTAACTCATAAAGGAGCCATCATGTGTTACAAAACAGATATTAATTCTCCTTACCAAGTAAGATGTGTACTTTCAGAGGAAAAAAGAGAAGAATTCAACGGTGTGAAATAATAGAAGGTACAGAATATAATTATAAATGTAAGAGGAAAAATAATAATACACTGGTCATTTTACCCCCACATGATCCTGGGAAGTGGCAGTCTTAGATAAAATTGACAAGACTCCTTCTTACTTATAATCGTATTCATCATAATCAAGGAGGTAGGGAGCATCTTTCCTTACAGTTTAAACTAATTCAGTAGGAGGGCTCTGAACAAAGTGAGCTCAAGAATCAAAGAAGCAGTGAGCATCACTGTGGGCCCCTGATTTGCATCTAATGCTGATCAGTGGAGTGGAGACAATTCTTGACCACATTCTCATTGCCTTAGAGAGAAGAGCGCAACCTTCAGCAGAGGAAGAGGTGAAGATGTGAACCTTTCCCTGGAAGAGGAAACAAACTTTCCTAATAAATATTTATAACTTGGTGTAATACATATGACAGTGAAAGCACATACTGGTGGATGGAGAGATTTATTTCTGGGAGATCGGACAGAGACATTAAAGAAAGGATGAATAGTGATTTTTCATGAGAAGAGTCAGGGGAGGGTAAATACAGTTAGAAGGAATCATGAAGAAATCATGGTGCTTCCAAAAGGGAAGTAGGAGCCGTTCAGCAATGCTGCGAGCTCTGATTGAAGATCTGCAGAGGTGAAGAGAGATCACATCTAGAAAGTCTCACTTGTCATGTGCAGATAATACAAGGCTTCCCTATGGAAAGGAGAATGGGTGCCATCCAAGATTTAAGTAAGGAGGAGATGGACAAAGATTTAGAGTTTGGAAAGATTACCCCAGCTTACTGAGTGGGAGGTAGACTGTGTAGGTAGGAGGGCAGGGATGAGCGCACATAACTAAAGAGTCCAGTTAGTGGATACTTCTGTGATGCATGCGCAAGACTTATATTTTGTGCCAAATGATTGATTTGAGAAGAATTTAAGAGACATATTCAATAGGATTTGATGAATTCCAGGTCATGTGGAGGATGACAGAGGAGAACACCTAAGCTCTCACTCTTGCACATTAGGAATTTTATGCCCCATGACAATAGTGAGTGTGTAAGAGATGAGTTCACAATGACTTTTTTCAGGAAAGTCACCAAAAGAGGGTTTCACATCTTGTCAAGGATTCCAACTCTGTCCCTGTTGTGGGAAGGGCTGAGATAGAGTGAAACAGGGGGAAACCAGTAAGGAATAAAGAATAAATCCAAATATAGGATACAGAGCCTTAGAAAAACTGTGACTTCTATTTTGGCATAGTTAAGAATAAATTCATGTTAAAATATCATCTTCACATTACTTCCTGCATGGCACACCTTTAATTCAACCCCATCCATAACAGATATGCATTTTTATTACACATGGCACATACGAAGTTTTAGAGGTAGAAGCCTAAACTACTGGTGTCTTACATTTGCATAACTTCCTAAAAATTACAAAATGTTTCTCCTTGTATCCTTGAGTGGGCCATGGAGAGACTTTACTATTCCTGTGTAGGTGAAGTGGTTATTCTAAAACACATTTTCTGACAAGAAAGACCAAAGAGTCCATTTTAAAAAAGTTCTTT